AATACTCAAGCACCCGTCATCCGTCGCACTCCCGGAGATGCTGTCACGACCAAGAAACCATCATCAAGCGCCGAGCAGCAGCCTCTAGCTTCGTCTTCAGCATCGGAGGAACCTGCCGCAGACTCTGGCCCGGTCGACCTCGTTATGCACACGATGCGGTGGGGTATAAAGTACGGCAAGGAAAGGGGGGCACAGGCTATCAATGCGCGCTCGGAGAACTTGGTTGAGGGTGTGGGGATGTGGAATAGATTTCGAGGGAGGAACCGGTGCATCGTCGTTTGTCAAGGGTATGTATACATTCCACGTATGCTCGTGGATGACGGATGATTGTACCCTAGATACTACGAGTGGCAAACTAAAGGCAAGAACAAGCTTCCGCACTTCATAAGACACTCCTCCGGCGACAAGGCCATGTTGATGGCTGGTCTCTACGAGTCTGTCGTCGAGCAAGGTGACTCTCTTCCTCCAACAACGGCAAATGCAGAACCAACGACCCCTTCTGGTAGATGGCTCTGAACCTACGTACACGTTCGCGATTGTTACGACAGATGCCAGCAAGGGGTTGAGCTGGTTGCACGATCGCCAGCCGGTTATTCTGTCTTCAGTTGAGGATGCAAATCGTTGGTTGGATACGTCGTCTCAGACTTGGTCTGCTGAGCTTGCAAAGTTGCTGCATCCATGGGAAGACGCAAAAGCGCCTCTTCAGTGGTAAGCCACCGCGTTATTTTTGCATTTGTTCGGTGGTCACGTTTGTCCGCCAGCTACCAAGTGCCAAAGGAAGTCGGAAAGGTCGGGGCAGAGTCACCCACGTTTATTCAACCACTATCGACCCGCAAGGATGGTATCCAAGCCATGTTCGCGAAACAGAGGTCCAAGCAGGAAGCCACCACGACAGCAAAACGCAAGCGAGAATCGACGTCGCCTGGCAAGAGCGATGAGCCCCAAACTGACGAAAAGAAAGTAAAACGTGAATATTCATGAATCATGAAATGGGGGGCGGCAAGATACGCTGATGATATTACCATGTCTGTATTTGTGACAATGAGGGGATGCAGATCTGATTATGGGATTGATGCTAAAAATTGAATGGACGTATCCAAGCATGCCGTGGCCTGACACCGTACGTTCTTATGTAGTGCATCTGACAGTCGAGGAGAGCAGCGCATAGGAGGAGAGTGCAGGACGATAAAAGTCGCAAAGCATGACGCACGGTGAAACGTACTTGATGTTCGTCACCCTCGAGAGTCAACGTCGATGTCAGTGTGCCTCTTCAACCAACGCTCCACAACACTCTGCATGGGACAAGCGCTCGACTCTGCACCTCTGCCACCTTTCTTGTACATCTCATCACAACAGAGATACAAAGCCTTGACGAACTTGTCGCATTTATCAGGGCGATACGCATTAGCATCCAGACAACTTCCCAATGTACGCGCTGGAGGCAACAGGCCCGACGTTGATGCATGTGTCCTTTGGCTCATCAAGCAGTTTAGTTTGCTCACCTTCGGCATGGCAACTTCGCACCTTGTCAGACTTGAATGGGAACTATCGTTAGCGCACGGAACGTAGCGGATTCAAACGTTCAAGCCCGTACCATGGTTATTGGCGGGATGCACTTTGTAGCACTTAAGGGGCATACAGCTGCAGAGGTCGGAACATTACGCGTTATTGATTACTTGATATGATCCTGGAAAGCCGGACAATCGCGCTCCCGAACGGGCAAGTTCCCCCGGCGAAATGCCGAAGTGCATCAAGAATTTCGGACGGCAGTACTTAAAACGGAAGGGGGACACCAGACACTGCATGAATGCAGAAGTTCGTCATGCAAGAAGTCCATAGTGTGGAAGTCCGTCACGCAGTAAGTTAGTAGTTTCGTAGATTTTTATACACAAGTTTGTAGTTCGTCACGCAGTAAGTTTGTAGTTTTGTAGTTTTGTAGTACACAGGTTTACTGTGCTGCAAGTCTGGAGTCTGCCATCCAGTAGGACTAATGCGCGGAAGCGTGAAAGTCTGTCGTGCCATAGTTCAGAGGCCTCTCGCAAAAAATGCATGTCCATGTACCCCGATGCTACGCTGATAGAAAAGGGAAATGGGGAGAGTGAGTGTGTGCTAGTGTTGGTGCTTTAACCAGGTTGCAAGGGAGAGGGGTGTATCTACAAGCGACTAAGGGGAATGGGTGAAAACCCAAAGGGTTTTCCGGCCCGGAGGAGGCACTGAATCTAAGGGCGATGAGTGCTAGTGAGCTGTGAGGGCGGGATGGGTACCGAACAGGTCTACTCTTCGCTCGGAGACTGATGTCAGCGCTCTGCCTGCAGGCAATATCGAATGATCCACTTGCTAGACCTGAGAGAGGGAGTGGTGGGCGGGTGCGAAAGCCCACTTCGCTTACTCGGACATGGACTACATTCTATGTCACGCGTCGTGACTCAGCTTACATAGAAAACTATTAAATGGAGTAAACTACGAACAATCATCGATGTCATCAGTGAAGGGAATGTCGAGTCCACAATTACTTTGTTCGAGAAGTGCCACAGATGTATCGATTCTGTGAATGTGCTGTGTATACGTCCCCTTCTCCCTCTTGTATTTTGTCATGGTGTTCTTACTTCTTGTTGCTTCGACATGTATACCTGCTCTTTACCCAGTTGTTTCTACTCAACCAACCCTGTGTCTCCGCATGCCAATAACATTTGGCTTTGGTCATGAAATTGTTTCAGATAAGATACTACTCCCAGGTGTGAGCATGTTTTTCCGATGTGCCTGCATTTTTTTCTTAGGTACCGTGGTCAACCCCACTGTGCTGTGCTCAGCAGTTCTAGAGTTTTTCTGCACCTTGCACGAGGCACGCCCTCAGGATTCTGGAGTTATAGCTCACGCAGTCCTGCGCCTTTCCGATTGCTTTTCGGCCCGCTCGTTCCCCTTGCCGAGACCTCCCTGGGGAGGCCTCTTTTGTCTACTTCCGTGCAGCCATTGTTGAGATATCACTGTTTTCGTGTTTGGAGGGCAGTGGGACAGTTCTGTGCGTAGCTCAGGATCCAATGATCTGATTGTGGTGGTTCCATTTTCTCCGTGTTCATCTATGAGTACTCTACCACCTTCCTGGGGCTCGTATTGGCCACCCTAGCCGTTGTCCTGAGGTTGTGACCCGCTTGTTCGCTTTCCCGGAGTTATCCCCATCGTCTTGGGCCGTATCTCGCTCGTTTCTCCGACGCGTCTCTCGCCTTTTTGCAGGCTTGTACTACTCGATGAAGGCTCCCTGTCGATGCCTGGATCGTTCTGATTGGTGCAGTAGTTACAGAGATATTTGCATTTTGGTGGCAAGGCCCACCCTTGAAGTCCTCTCGTCGTGCCCCATGCATCTCCACGCCGCTTCTCTCGCTCTTCGAGCCACAAATTCGCCTCACCGACTTATTTCCGGGGTGCCCTTGTTCATCAATTCCATGCACTCGTTGCCGAGATATTCCCATTTTTGTGTTTGAAGGGTTTTGAAGCGGTTTGGCGTATAACTCAGGATCGGGTGATCTGATTGGTGTGTTTCCTCTTTCTCTCTGATTTCCTGGGAGTCCTCTACCACATCCAGAGTTTCATGTCAGTCGCCCCAGCCGTTGCCGTTCGAAGGTCTCCTCTCTCCCTCCTCCAGGATGTTATCTCACGTGTCCCATGCGTTTTGCGGTCGTTCCTCTCACTTTCTTGGGATCATGCACTACTCATTGAAGGCTTTCAGATGGTGCATTATACATCGCACTGGCTGCCGCCGTTGCAGAGATATGCTCCGTCTTCAGTGTACTACAAAACTACAAAACTACTGACCTACCGCGTAACGAACTTCTGCATTCATGCAGTGTCTGGTGTCCCCCTTCCGTTTTAAGTACTGCCGTCCGAAATTCTTGATGCACTTCGGCATTCCACCGGGGGAACTTGCCCGTTCGGGAGCGTGATTGTCCGGCTTTCCATAGTTTCACCCGTGCCTGTTCCCTATCGTATCAAATGGCCCATGTGGCGTGTTGTACGAGAACCTCTTTTCTTTCCTATCTCGAACCAACTATCTGGAAACTGTGCAGCCCTATGTAACTACACCCTGAATTCAAAGTCACCTGCGGTGTTCTCATTCTCGTCTGGATCGCCCTTTGCACAGGTTTACCCGGAATCTATTCAATACATGTATGTCGAGTGGAAATTCAAAAGAATTGTAAAATTGCCATGGCTCCGAAACACGATGATTCCTCTTGTCAGTCTCTTTCATATTCAATCTTGAAGATGTTTAACTAATTGCCTTGTCAGTGTATGTTGTAAACAAGAATTCTCTGCTCTTTCCACATGAAAATTGACCCAGAACTCATGTTCCAAAGTCATCGTCAAAAAGGAGAATATTGGTAGATATGTATGGTGACAGAGCAGACACTGGGTGTAGCAATGAACAGCACAAATAAGAAACAAGCACAGAGTAACACAGCAAAGGCAAGGAAATATGGGCCCAACTGCTCAAAGGCCCTCTGGATTGATGACTACTCAGTTAGTACCCACCTCACATAAGACATAACACACATACTCATTGACAGGGATAGAGCCAAGAGCTCAAGGAATCAGTGCCAGTAACACAGTCCCAGCACATGCAGCCACATCAGCAAAACACAAAAATGTGTTAGTAACTCATAGCTGCCCATAGTATTTGCACAATTCCATATTAGCCCAAAGCAATGTCAAGCATCCTAGCAACTCATAGTGCCAGAGTAGACTACACCAGACTTGCCCAAAGTAGTGGCCAGCATCCAAGCAACTCATAGCACCTGAGTAAGCCACACCAGTGATACCAACAATCCAAAGACCAATAGCTACCTAGCATACAAGGGAACAGACACACCTAGCTAATACAGCAACCTAGATTCCCACTGTAGTAGAGAACTTGGTAGATCTAACTTTGTTCCTATGCATGAAGGCAACAACACACAGACATGACATACAGCATTTTTATGATAAGTACAGGAAAGTAATGGATAGTACTAGTCTAGACAAATGGTGAGTATTTGACTACCAGCATGCTCAATAACTGTGCCTATCAAGATCCAGCATAAGTAAAATAGTGGCCCAAAAGAACAGAGCAAGCATACCATCAGACTTGAGAGATGGCTGCAGCTCACTGGCCAGAACACTAACATTGAAAATAGGCTCCCCCAGTCCATGTTTTTTCATTGCTACATGTAATGAGCCAACCTCCATATCTTTTTTTTGGACTCTCACCTCACCACTGCCTGCCTTGTACTTGTACAACTTGGCCATCAATTCATATTTGTGGGTGATGCATGTGGCCAGAGCTTGTTCCACACAAAAGACTTTGCATTGTGCACATGCTACATCAAGAAGGAGAAGTGCTTCATGATTCAGCTGACTCTTTGATTCATGCTGCAGATTGAAAACCTATCAATGAGCAGTTATTAGGAAGGGAAAAAAGAACTTACTGTGTGAGTGGACAACTCCAATATTCCATACATCTCAGCTAAGACACCAGTTGTCTCCACTTTGACCTTGGCACTGCTAGAGGGACTGTTGCAGGAAGAGAACCTGCCATTACAAGGCTTATGGGGCAGTCCTTTGCCACCCAGGCAACACTTGACCATGGGCATGGTCAGTCCAGCATGAAGGTGTGTGTGATTGAGGTTATAAATGGACATGAGTGACTATGTTCATGAATGGGATGTGATTGGGTAGTATATGAGAAATACACTCCATAGTGATCTGAACAACATCCTGATTTGCACTGAAGTGATAATCATGTAACACAGAATCAGCCTGCCTGACCATCTAGAGTATGCCCCACTGTCCAAGTTGTGGTAAAGGTGGCTTCCAGAGTCACAGCACTGTCACAATGCACATGAGCCAGCTGTCCTCTGGGTGCAATACCTGGGTCAATAACTTAGTCCACCTTCATGAGTCTCTCCAACCTTCGAGCTTGAACATTCATAACTCTCAACACCCAACACACTTAGAAGATGTCCCAATGAGCACCAACCCCAATGACTATGCAACTCATGATTACCTGGATTTTGTTCATATGACATTTGACATGTGGGGGCCAACCACAGACAACTTCGAGGGCACAGCTAAAACATTTGGACTTGGCCCAACATTTATGGACAAATTTAATGGTGACCAGTTCAGCAACCTATGGGCATCAAATCTGTACTACCCCTTCAACTCCCACAATGAATGGGAGCTGGCATTGTGGTTACTTCATTCAGGCCTGAGCATGAGAGCTATAGACTCTTTCTTGTCATTGTCAATCATAAGCCTGTCCCTATTCTCTCCAAAGATCATTATTGACATGCACCAGATACAGCTACTAAATATTTCCTTTCATACAGCCAGAGCACTTCATGGGCTGGCTGAGTTACTCCCTGGTGGGCCATGCTGGTGCTCAATGGAGATTACTCCTTTGCAGCCAACCAAACACCCTGTGCACTTGTACTGGCATGATCCCCTGGAATGCATTGCATGGCTCCTCAACCACCCTTTGTTCTCTGACCAGCTCGATTTTGTTCCAAGGCATGTATACAAAATGCCTGAGAACCTTTGTAGGGTGTATACAGAGTGGATAACTGCTGATGATGCTTGGCATATGCAGGTATGTTTCCACTGTGAGTTATAGATCCTTTTATTTGATTGATGTACCCCAGTCACAGCTTCTGAGCAGAGCAACTCTTCTTGGCATGATACTTTCTTCAGACAAGACAAATATTACTACTTTATGTGGTGGCAGAGTTGCTCATCCACTTCTTGTCAGCCTAGCAAATATCAAGATGTCCACATGCCTAAAATTGTCATCCAACTCATTTATGCTCACCACTCTCCTCCCTGTCCCCAAGTTCATGCACAAGAACAAGCATATGCATGGCCTCCTCGAAGATAGGCTCGTTCATGAATGCTTGGATATCATACCTGAGCCTGTCAAGCAAGCTGCCAAACTTGGCATTATGTTACTAGATTCTCTGGGGCACATGCAGTACTGTTTCACACCAATTGTGGGTTATATTGCCAACACTCCTGAGGCTGCCATGCTTGCAGCTGTTGGGGGAAAGACTTCCCTGAGTTTGACAAAGATGAGGACAATGCATTTGGATGGGGTGCAATGAATCTTAGGCAATCAACTCATCCTGGTATGCATCAGAGGTTATTATGGTATTGGCTCAATGTTCTTTGTTAGGCTTCTCCCAAGAAATGACAACAAGCAATCCTATTCACCACAATTCCTTACCCCCTGACCATGAGTTTCAGTACTCATGTGATAAGGATGATGATGTGGCTCTGTGAAGCTTACAATCCAAGGACAAGGCTCAGCCAGAGGTATGAAAATGCCATTCCTGCTAGCTTTATTTATTCAGATTGTTATTTTAGGGTTCCCAACATGGCACTGTCATCGACATTCTTGAATGCCACCATTGCACTAACAGCCATCCTGTTCCTGATCATGATCTTCTGACCCTTGCACATGACTTGGTCAATGAAGTATCTCAGCATGCCAGAGCCCCTTGTAACTCCAAGAAAGCTAAGGATGAGGGCCCATTGCCTTCACAACTGAGATTTTACAAGGCAGTATGGAAGGACTGTCTCAAAGATGCTAAGCAAGAATGCAGGGCTGCACATGCACTTTCTAACCCATTCCCATCAAAATCTCATGACCTCAACCTCTCCATAACAGAGGTGCTCATCACTGTCATCATTGAGTGGAGTCAATGCAGTGTGCAATTTGAAGATGGTGAGTAACAATATTTTCACTTTATACATGTCTTGTTATCCTAACTTTATAGGTTACTGGCCTGACCACGAGCAAGATATGGTGTGCCTCGTGAGTAGTCCCATCTTTCAGTTACAGCTACTGACATACCACTGGTAGCTCCTTGGTGATATATCTACCTGGCATTCAGAATTGAAGTCAGTTATGCTGGCAACCATGCCATCCACATTCAACCTTATCCCTCCTTCTGATGTTGCACCACAGGTTCATGTACAATGGATAGAGACCACTGCCACAAAGCTCCTTGACAACTCGCTTTTCCTGTGAGACAGTTTCAACAAGAATGTACATTCACACAGTTCATTGTCTGCACTACTAATGGATTGGATTATCAGGGAAAAACCAGGAATTTCACTCACCCCACCCTCAAGGAAACTGTCATACAATTCTACTATACCAGGACCTATCAAATTGCAGATAAGCATCCTGAGTCCTTCAACAATTCAGTTCCCCTTTCCTGTCTGGCTCTCATCACAGCTGTGGTGAGTTATTTTACACCCTGAGTTGCTGCAACTTGAACTTTTCTTGCAGTATCATTGTGTGTTGGATGGATTTGCGAAGAATGGCACAGGAAAGACAATGCCTCAATTCTCTGGCAAGGCTTACAATTCCATTTTCCATGGCATGATGAAGGTGCTGAACAACATCCTTTGTAATCCCTATCACAGCACAAGGTTGTGCGATCAGCTTTCTCAGTGGGTGAAGGAAGGATGGTAAGTACTGGGGTGGCCGATGTGCTCATGCTGACTCCTCATATCAGGGCTGCACTGCAAGAGGTTGATTCAAATGTAGAGAGGTACCAGCACATTCAGGCAGTCCTTGATTGATTTCATAATACCTAGTCCTGTCGTACCTGTCATTACACATAGTACATGATTGATGCCAATGCTCCTGTTCCTGTCATACCTGCTGTGAACTGTTCCTAGTTGTGGAGTGATCACATGTTTGCAAAGTAAACATTGAGATGGGGAGTACTGGACAACACCCCAAGGAGAATACAGTCTGGCCAGTTTTGTACAGTGATATCTAAGCATGAAAGTTCCATAGCAATCCATAGTAAGTAAGATACTGGACAAAGTTCCATGACAATGTGACCATTCCATAGTAACAGGCAACTAGCCATAGCAAAAAGTGTTGTTGGGTGCATCTGTCCAGCCTGGACCTAGCTAGGGGACTCTGTGTATTATGGAGCACTGTGGAGAGCTCCACAGCTCAAAGTGATTTACTGATGCATGCATGTGCCTTGGGCTGTGTTACAGCCAAGGAGCAACAAGGATGCCACAGGGGCAGCAACCACCCCAAAGGTGAACCCAGCTGCCACATAACAAGCTACAGTAACTGTGTTGCACCCTGTGAAACACATGAAGCAACAGCAGAGAAGCATGTGGCAATTCCCTGTTGGGTGTGTCTCATCAACTTACCACTTTGACATATGGCATAGGCAATAGGGCCTGCTGTTGCTATGGGTACAGAGCTGAGAGCAAGGAGGCCAAGCAGCTTGAGGTTCATGGTGGTTTGGTGGAAGGGGCATTATGGTTCAAGGCTGCCTCTTTTATAGGATGAATTGCCACTGTCAAGCAGGTGGGCAGGGAAGGTGTCACACATTTAGGTGGGCCCTGCTGGGCATCACATTGTCATGGCTCAGGTGGGATGACTCGGGAGGGTGCCGAGGAACTCTGTTCATGTCTTACATATGTTTATCTATGCTCTTAGCTAACAAAAAGTGGGAAATTTGCATCAGGATCACTTCCCACACCTGACCACCACTCATCTAGCAAATTTGGGCAGGTCTCTTTGCAGAATACCCATTTATTTCATGAATTATTACATGGCCAACATACAGTGTCTTTCAGTAGAATTGAATTGAGTACCAACAAACGGGCAAGGGTTGCATGCAGCCCACAAGTTGCCCGACCCTCACTTTCTCGCATGCGCACCCTCCGCTTAGTCAGCAGGCTACCCGTGCATTTGCAGTGGCTGTGAGCACAGCCACCTGCAAATTTTCCGGAATAATATGATCCTGTTTCACCTATGCCTGTTCTCTACCAAAGGGCCCGTGTAGCGTGTTGTACGAAAACCCTTTCTCTTTCCTACCTCGAACAATACAGAAGTAACTGTCTGGAAACAGTGCAGCCTGCGATATCCTCATTCTTGTCTGGGTTGCCCTTTGCACAGGTTTACCTGGAATCCATTCAATACATATAGAGGCTCCCTAAGCGTTAAACTATTGATCGCTGGCATGGATGGAAATTCGAAGAAATTGTAAATTTGCCTTGGTTCCGAAACATGGTGCTTGTATTTTATACATCGCTCCTCTCTTTCATATTCGATCTTGGAAACATCCAACTAACTGCCTTTAACAGTGTATGTTGTAAACAAGAATTCTCTGCTCTTTCCAGGTGAAAATTGACCCGAAACTCGTGTTCCAAGGTCATCGTAAAGAAGGAAAATATTGGTACATATGGTGACAAAGCAGACACTGGGTATTACAATGAACAGCACAAATAAGAAACAAGCATAGAGTGACACAGTGAGGACAAGAAAACATGGGACCAACTGCTCAGAGGCTCTCTGGATTGATGATCACTCAGTTAGCCCCCACCTTGAAACATAACACACATACTCATTGACAGGGATAGAGCTAAGAGCTCAGGGAATCGGTGCCAGCAACGCGGTCGCGGCGCATGCTGCCATGCATGCACCTTGGGCTGCGTTACAGGCAAGGATCATCTGAGGTGCCGCAGGGGCAGCGACTGTGCCAAAGGTGAAT